CGCGGCGCGGCCGCGGGGCGAGGGGGGCAGCCCCCCTAGATCATCACCGGCCTCGCCAGCCCCGCTCCGGGGATACACGCACACCGCCCGCCGCATCGCCGCCCCGAAGGCTTGCGGGCTCTTCTTTCCCGACGTCGCCCGGCGCTTCGGATGCTCTAAACCCAACCGAGACTCTGGGGCCTGTATATGGAAATAGTGGGGTGCGCGCGGCCGCGGGGCGAGGGGGGCAGCCCCCCTAGATCATCACCGGCCTCGCCAGCCCCGCTCCGGGGATACACGCACACCGCCCGCCGCATCGCCGCCCCGAAGGCTTGCGGGCTCTTCTTTCCCGACGTCGCCCGGCGCTTCGGATGCTCTAAACCCAACCGAGACTCTGGGGCCTGTATATGGAAATAGTGGGGTGCCGAGCCGAAGGCAACGCGTGTCCCTTCCGTCCGCCAGCCATGCTTTTCCACGGCATCTCCGGAGGCCACATCCAGGGGATCATGGAGGAGATGGAGCGGAGGTCCAAGACCGAGTCGCGGCTGGCCAAAGCCGGGCAGATGAACGGCCGGGAAGCGGTAAGTGGCACCCCGTGCCGGGCGGGAGAAACACCCCCCCCAAAAAAAGTGATCATTCCAGGGAGGGAGAGCTTGCCAGCCTGGGGAGGGTTGGGTGGGACACCAGTTAGCCGGGGGAGGGGAAGGGGGGAGGAACTCCAGCCACCCAAAATCTCACAGCATCACATAAACATGTCGAGCAAAATGTTGCTGAGCTCAAGTGACGTGGACCTGAACTCTCAGAAACTTTTCTTTAAAAAAAAAAGGATTAGAAAATCCGTTCTCCCTTCTTGAAGCACAAGTACAATCCGATGCAGGCTTTTTTCCCCCAAGTACTCCCTGTCCGAGCCTAAGAATCTTTACACAGAAGTAAGCCTTATTCAATTTGTTGAGTCGTATTTCCAGCGTCATGTCCAAAAAAATTGCAGGCTTGTTTATTTATTCTTGGGAATTTGGCTTTAAAAGCAAAATATTGATTTCCCCCCCACACACACACAAAAGATCAAATATTAAAAAATATTTTAAAAATTAAAATAATAACAGAACTGAACAATTATTATCCTAAGTTCAAAACATCTATGCGAAGTTACGGAAAAGCAGTTCATGCCGTTGCATTTACTTGTGTACTTCCAAGTAAAACTGATCCATCTCTTCTCCGGCACCTTCCCCACTCCCTGCCCCGCTTGGCATAAAGCAGAAACTTTAGCCTTTCCCATTGAAACCGATGGAACTTTAAAAAGTTAAACGGGGCTAAATCGTGCCCTCATTTTTATTTTCATTTTAAAACACCCTTCCCAGCAAAACTGGTTTGCTCAGAAGTAGGTTCTTCTCGATTAAAAAGTTGGAAAGCAAGGGTCTTGCAGAAGCAGCGGCACATGGATCTTTCCTCTACTGCTGCGGTTCCAAGGAAATTTACCAAGAAGGAAGTCCGCACTCACTGGATTCTTTTCTTCCGAATAAATCTGATTGTATTCGGACTGGGCAAGGCTTTCGCTTCAGCAGGAAAGCAGGACTGCCGTCCTGGTAGGAAGGTTTAGAAGGAGTAATTCGGCGTCATTTCTTTACTCCTTGATCTGCTTTAGTTCCTCCCGAGTTACCCGCAGCTCAAGCTCAAGATGAACAAAAACAGGGCCAGCAGGACTTTGCTCGAGAGATACGCCAAGAGATTCCCTTCCAAAAAAGTGCAGGATACTTCAGAAAAATGTCAGGTCGCCTGAAAGACCAAATTACAAGAAACGCAAAAATTAAAATTAAGGGAAGGATGGAGCCCCAAGTGCCATTCATTTTTTAAAAAAAGATTATTTTCTTTTTAATTCTTTGGATGCTGTAAATCCACTGCGGCCCCTTTCATTTAAAATGAAAAGAAAAAGCAAAGAAAGACATTATCTTCGCTTCGCTTCCCTGCCCTACTCCTTACAGACTGGTGTGTATGAGGTGTGTGTGTGTGTGTTTTGAAAAACAGCAGAGATGGAGCGAAATCGACAGAACGGATGAAATATACAAACGTAAATGGAAGGAAGGCGTTTTGCTGCCTCCGGAAAGCATGTTAAAAACCGCCTACTAAATACATGCTTTACAGTTATCTGGTTTAGCTCGTGAGTATGGAATCAGATTATTTAGCGCGTTAGTCCCAGACTGATCCGCTCCCTTTGAGATGGTTTAATTCCCCGGGAACTGAGCAGAGAGAAAGGGAGACGGGTGTGTGTATGTGTGTGTGAATAAGGAAGTTTTCTTTTGCTCTCAGATCCCCGGGCTTCCGTTGGGCACCCACAATGAACCGAAGGAACGGCCTGCAGAAAGCTGCGCCTCGCCGCCCCTTTGAACTGGCTCCCCCCCCCTTCATCCCACTCCCAGCAGAAGTTTATTAAGGGGGAGCGGGGTTTGGCTTTATAAGCATTCCGGGCCTCCTCATTCCCCACCTTTGTTGCTGTTCTGGGGAGAGGGGGAGCGAAGGGTGTTCCCCAATCAAGATTAAAGGTATTCCTCCTTTCAGAGGCAGGCGTGGTTTTTATTTTGTATTTTTAATCTGCTGGAGATTTCACCAGGATTCCTCTAAACCGTTTCCTAATTTAAACAAAAAAACAAAACAAAAAACTGGAAGAAGGACGTAATCACTCCGAAATATTAATTCAAATGTTAATAGGCCGTGGCAGACCTTTTCAAAACAAATAAACCTCCCTGCCCTCTCTTTAAACTAAATTAGAAAAACCCAGATGGCAAGGAAGGATCTTTATAAAAGAGTAGGCTTTAAAAAAAGAAAAGAAAAGAAGGGAGGGACAATGTAGGGAAACAGCACTCCAAGAACAATCCTCGGCTCTATTTCGCCCGTCTTGTTCTTGAAATTCTGACATCGACCCCCCCCCGCCCCCCACCAAGAAGCTTCTGTATCTCTAAAGTCACATCATGGAAGATAGGACTCCCTGTGATCCAGGACGTACTTGCCAGGGAAACCTGGGGTTGGATCGAGTTGCAACACACACACACACAAACACGATTATTAAGAATTGCAATTGGATCCTGGCAGGTTTACATGGAAGTAAGTGTATCTGTGAAGTAAGTGAGGCTTTTTCTGAAAAGGAGTTAACACCAGGAACCTAACGCGTACCAACGAGAGGAGGCCTATTAACTCTGTGGGATTTGCACCGGTGTCGACTCACCAGTCTCACTCGCCTGATCCGACGGGTCTACTCCAGAGGGGACTAGCCACGGGCTACTGGCCCTCGGCTGAAAGGGCAGCTAGGCTTTCTGAGTTGAACATGCCCCAGATCCTCTCTCGTCCCAGACGAAGCTGCGGATTTCAGTCCTTGGACGGGAGAAAGAGGGCGAGCCTGACCTTGTTTGGGCGAGGGGGCGGCGGAGTGAAGAATGGTTCTGAATGAATCTCTAAAATTCCCCTGGCAGAAGTCAAGATCTCCCAAAGTTAGGTCCTGGTTTTTAATCTTCTGAGAGGGCTCGCTGGAACCCCGGAAGCAAAAAAAACCGAGGAGGAGACACAGGGCCACGCCGCTGCCCTTCTGGGCGGTTGTTTCCAGTACTGGGGGGGACGAAAGTGCTTGTTGGGGACTCGAGGCCTTAACGTTATGCCTTGTTCAAGGTTCGAGGTGGGGTGAGGAGGTTGGGGAAGGGAAGGAGCCAGGAGGCGAGATCCAAGTTCCTAGAGGAAGGAGGGCAGGTCCATCCCAGGCGTGTCTCCTCAGAGGGAAGTCCAGCTGAGTTCTACGGTCCGTGCCTAGGATGGCAGGCAGCCTTAAAACCGGCGAGGTCCCATCGGGAATAATAACGGGGGGGGGGGCACAACCGTGGCAAACGCTTTAGGGTGCGTTGGGTGGGAAGTCCCCCGCCGAGGCCAACAAGCCGCCAGGCTTACGCCCGAGTAGACGCGGCGCACCTCGTGGATGGAGGGGCACCCCAGTCAGGCCGGCACCTCACTCACCCCCCCCCCAAAAGAGCCATTCCCCCTGCTGCCGGCCGGCTTGCCTTGCTTTAACCTTGTGACCTCGGCCTGGAGGTTCACTGGTGTGTTTGGGGGGGGGGCTTTGCTTTTTGCAGAACATGCCTCCGCTGAGCCCCGAGAAGCCTGCTCTGTGCGCCGGCTGCGGAGGCAAGATCTCGGACCGCTATTACCTGCTGGCTGTAGACAAGCAGTGGCACCTCCGCTGCCTCAAGTGCTGTGAATGTAAACTGGCGCTGGAGTCCGAGCTCACCTGCTTTGCCAAGGACGGCAGCATTTATTGCAAGGAGGA